TTCCGCTGCGGTTGGGAGGGATGCGGGGGGGGGTTCGAAAGGGGGTGGGCAGCAACGCTCGATAGGGTTTGGCAGGGTTTAGGGTTTAGGGTTTAGGGTTTAGGGTTTAGGGTTTGGCGGCATGCCCACCTCTCCAGCAACTGCGCGTGCCTCCCAGCTCTCTGCTGCTGCTGCTCTCGCTGCTGCGCCTTCTCCTGCTGCTCCTCCTCCTTATCTCTCCTGCTGCTGCTGCTGCTGCTGCTGCTGCTGCTGCTGCTGCTGCTGCTGCTGCTGCTGCTGCTGCTGCTGCTGCTGCTGCTGCTGCTGCTGCTGCTGCTGCTGCTGCTGCTGCTGCTGCTGCTGCTGCTGCTGCTGCTGCTGCTGCTGGAGACAGAAGGGGCGCAAACAGAACAAGACTGCAGCCCCTGTCCTGCTGGCAGCTACTGCGCAGTTTCGGGGCTTTCCAAACCCTCAGGGTTTTGTGCTGCTGGCAGTCTTTGCATGCAAGGAGCCACTCACCCAGCCCCCAGAGACGGACTCACGGGTCTCTAAACCCCAAACCCTAAACCCTAAACCCTAAACCCTCAGGGTTTTGTGCTGCTGGCAGTCTTTGCATGCAAGGAGCCACTCACCCAGCCCCCAGAGACGGACTCACGGGTCTCTAAACCCTAAACCCTAAACCCTAAACCCTAAACACTGAAAGCACCCTACCCCCAGAGACGGACTCACGGTTCTCCTAAACCCTAAACCCTAAAACCTAAATACTCGCCCCCCCAAGACACGGCCTCGCAGTTCCTTACCACCCCCCAACCCCAAACCCCAAACCCTAAACCCTAAACCCTAAACCCTAAACCCTATTATGTTTCTCTTTTTTCCCTTGGCTTATAGGCCTTCTCTGCATGCGCAATAAACTCTTTCTCCTTTCCCAGTGTTCTCAGCAACCCCCGAGGGTTTCGTGCGCAAACCCTCGCAAGGGTTTCCCGCAAACCCTAAACCCTAAACCCTAAACCCTAAACCCTCGTTTTGCTGCGCAGGAGTCATTTGCCCAGCCCCCGGCTACTGCGTCTCCGGCGCAGCAGCAGCAGCAGCTTGTCCAGATGGCCAGTTTAGTCCCTTCGACGGAGGCAGGGGCCCCCAAGACTGCAGACCCTGTTTTGCGGGTCTCTACTGCCTGGGGGCCCCCTCGGGGGGCCCCTCGGGGGCCTCCTCGGGGGCCCCCTCGGGGGCCCCCTCGGGGGCCCCCACGCGCAGTCTCCCGGGGGCCCCCTGGGGGCCCCCCCTGCGCGCCCTTTTGGGGCCCCCCCCGGGGGCCCCCCGGGGGGGCCCCCTGGGGGCCCCCGGGGGGGCCCTTGGGGGGGCCCCCAAAACGCCGGTGGTGGGCCCCTGCGCAGCAGGGTACTACTGCCCCGAAGGCAGCAGCAGCAAAGGAGACTCTTCCTTGAGGGCCCCCCCCGGCAGCTTCGCCCCCGAGGGGTCTCCTTTGCCGCAGTTTTGTTGGCCGGGGACTTTCACTGAAGGAGACGCTGCTGCGGAGTGTCTCCTTTGTCCCGCGGGCTTTTACTGCGACGAAGCAGTCAGCTGCTGCTGCTGCTGCTGCTGCTGCTGCTGCTGCTGCTGCTGCTGCTGCTGCGCTGCTGCTGCTGCTGCTGGTGCTGGTGGTGCTGGTGCTGGTGCTGGTTCTTGGCGTGCGTGCGTGCACCCCGCGCTCCCGCCTCACTCCCCCGCCTTCGCCGCTGCTGCTGCTGCTGCTGCTGCTGCTGCTGCTGCTGCTGCTGCGCTGCTGCTGCTGCTGCTGGTCAGGGGATGAGTCTGACGCCGGTGAGCGGGGCAGCAGCCCCCAAGGGCTGCCGCGTGGGCATGTACTGCCCCGAGGGCTCCGTCTTCCACAAAAACTGTCCCCCGGGGACTTTTAATGCTCTTCAAAATGGAGAGACAGTTGGAGACTGTCTCCTTTGTCCCGCGGGCTTTTACTGCCAGTACGAGGAGACCAATGGTCCCACGGGAAAGTGCAGCAAGGGATACCACTGCGCCTCCAGAAGCACTTCCATGGCCCCCCAGGTCCGCTTTTTCAGCGCTTTGAGCTCCTCTTTTTGTCTCCTTTTTGTCTCCTTTTTGTCTCCTTTTTGTCTCCTTTTTTGTCTCCTTTTTTGTCTCCTTTTTTGATCTTTTTTTGGAGCTTTTTTGGAGCTTTTTTGGAGCTTTTTTGGATCTTTTTGTGTCTTTCTTGCCACCACTGCGCCTCCAGAAGCACTTCCATGGACCCCCAGGTCCGCTTTTTCAGGGCTTTTTTGCTCTTCTCTTGTCTCCTTTCTGTCTCCTTTCTGTCTCCTTTACTGTCTCCTTTATTGTCTCCTTTTTTGTCTCCTTTTTTGTCTCCTTTTTTGGTCTTTTTTGAAGCTTTTTTGGAGCTTTTTTGGGTTTTTTTGGAGCTTTTTTGGCGTTTTTGTGTCTTTTTTGCTGCGCCTCCAGAAGCACTTCTGTGGCCACCTCGCCATTAACGAACCACATTAATTAATTGATCAAATTAATTATTTATTTATTTATTTATTTATTTATTTATTTATTTATTTATTATTTATTTATTTATTTATTTATTTATTATTTATTTATTTATTTATTTATTATTTATTTATTTATTATTTATTTATTTATTTATTTATTTATTTATTTATTTATTTATTTATTTATTTATTTATTTATTTGAGGAAGTTGACTCCTTCATTCCACCTCACCTTTAACAAACCACTACAATTAATATATCAAATTATTCAGCTTTTCATTTATTTATTTATTTATTTATTTATTTATTTATTTATTTATTTATTATTTATTTATTTATTTATTTATTTATTTATTTATTTATTTATTTTTTAGGAAATTGACTCCTTCGGAAACGGGCCCTGCCCCGCGGGCTTTTACTGCCCGGAGGGGACGGAGTCTCCAGTGGGCTTGTCCGGCGGGGACCTTCCAGCCGTCGCTGAGAGCAGCAGAAAAAGCGGATTGTCTCCCTTGTCTTGCGGGCTGGTTAGCTCCTTTTTCAGAGCTTTTTAGTCCATTTGAATCTCCGAATTAAGACCTTTTTAATGGTGTTGGAATCAGCTTTTTATTCCACTTTAAATGCACTCTTTTGGCCTTTTGAATCGGTTTTTAAAGATGTAATTTGTCCCCCGTGGACCTTTCAACCGTCTCAAAAGGCCTCAGAAGAAGCGGATTGTCTCCTTTGTTTTGCGGGCTGCTTGTCTCCTTTTTTAAATCTCTTTGATTCATTTTATTCTCCTAATTGTCTCCTTTTTGATGGTGTTTGAATCAGCTTTTAATTTCATTTTAAAGGAAATTAATTGGCTTTTTAATTCTGAGTTTAAAGAGCTAAATTGCCCCCTGGGGGCATTTCTATCGTTGTCTCTTTTGTTTTGCGTGCGAATTTGTTTCTTTTAATTTTTTTTTAATTTCTTTTTAAATTTATTTTTAATTTCTTTTCAACTCATTTTTTAATTCATTTTTAATTCATTTTTAATTCATTTTTAATTCATTTTTAATTCATTTTTAATTCCTTTTAATCTTCAAATAAAGTCCTTTTTAATGCCATTCAAATGATATATTTAGGCCCTTTTTATTCCACTTTAGATAAATTAATTTGGGCTTTTTATTCCAATTTTAAATAATTAATTGAGCCTTTTTAATTCATTTTAATTTATAAAAGTAGTCTTTTTAATTCAACTGAAATGGTCCATTTGCCACTTTAAAGTCGAATTTCATGACCCTAAACCCTAAACCCTAAATTAGGGTTTGACTTGCCCGCAGGTACTGCGAATACGAGGGCCTTACAAAGCCAAGCGCTGAGTGCTCTCCAGGCTACTACTGCGAAGAAGGTCAGCAGCAGCAGCAGCAGCAACAGCAGCAGCAGCAGCAGCAACAGCAGCAGCAGCAGCAGCAGCAACAGCAGCAGCAACAGCAGCAGCACGGAGGGGTTTCATTGTTCTTAAAGTTTATTTCTTGTGCAGGCAGAAGAGTATTAGGGTTTGGGGTTCAGGGTTTGCCGCGCTCCCGCCGCATTCAAAGGCCCAGTGCTGAGGGTTTAGGGTTTAGGGTTTAGGGTTTACGGTTTAGGGTTTAGGGTTTAGGGTTTAGGGTTTGTGTGCAGGCGAGTCCTCGCCAGAGCCACAAGGCAAAGAATGCCCTGAGGGTCACTACTGCCCCGCGGGTTCTCCCTCCCCCATTCCCTGTCTCCCCGTGAGCTAAACCCTAAACCCTAAACCCTAAACCAGCTAGCCACTTAGCTAGCTAGCCAGCTAGCTAGTTAGCTAGATAGCTAATTAGCTAGCTAGCCAGCTAGCTAGCCAGCTAGCTAGCCAGCTAGTTAGCCAGCTAGCTAGCTAGCCAGCTGATTAGCTAGCTAGCTGCCGAGCTAGGTAGCTAGCTACGTCGCTAACTGGCTAGCTAGCTAGCTAGCTAGCTAGCTAGCTGGCTAGCTAGCTAGCTAGCTAGCTAGCTAGCTAGCTGGCTAGCTAGCCATGCTCCGACCTAGCCCTCTAGACCTCCCTGCCCGCCCGCTCCCTCCGGGCAGCTAGCTAGCTAAGCCCCCGCACCAAGCTAGCTAGCCAGCTAGCCAGCTAGCTAGCCAGCTAGCTAGCTAGCTAGCTAGCTGTGGCTAGCTGTGCCTTCAGGGAACCTACCAAGACTCCACCGGAGGCAGCGCATGCAGCCCCTGCCCCGCAGGCCGTTTTTGTCCCCTCCAAACTGCGGCCCCTTTTGAGGAGACACTTTTGTGTCCCCCAGGGGCCTTTTGTCCCCAAGGCACTGCGGAGGCGCGCCAGCACTTGTGTCCCCCCGGTACAAACCCTAAACCCTAAACCCTAAACCCTAAATTAGGGTTTCACCCCTACACCTCCCCTCAACACTGCGGCCCCTTTTGAGGAGACACTTTTGTGTCCCCCAGGGG